TATAAATTTTTAAAAAAATGAAATTTCACATATAATCCGAGGAGGAAAAGGAAGAAGGCAACTCAATTTGAGTACTCTGATGAGTTCTAATGAGCACAGATTTCTTTAAGGATAAAGAAGGGTGGTGAGGGGCACCACTGAAAACAAATACAAAAGGTAAGTACAGTATACACTCTTTCTAACGTCTCTTTCAACTAAGTTTGAAAAAAAGAAGGGATGTATAATAGTTCACTAATGTAACCTTGAGCTCTGACAGAGCAAAACTGCGGATGGTTTTAGACCACAAGATAATTTTCTGATAGCTAACAATGCCAAGAATCTGATTTTTTCCAATTTCTGTTTTGCTTCTATCTTCTGTATTGAGAATAATTTCAAACCAGCAAGGATAAACAAATAATGTTAGGAGATTATTGAAGCTCCAAATAGAGATCATAAGAGACACTTAGCTGCTTTAAATGAGTATAAGTATCCAAATCAAGAAGAATTAGATGTAAGAGAGTAGAAGGAATTTTCATCAGTACTAGGAATGGCTCACTACCAGAAACAAGCTATAATAAAGTAAGCTTATTTTGGTGGAATGTACAGACTTACTACTAAAGGAGTTGATCAAAGGAATGCCATAAACAGAACATAGCGTGAATTTAGAAAGGTAGTGGATAAAATACCTCATGATATTTTCACAGGTATAATGGAAAGAAGTAGCTGACTGATAGTTCTGTTAAGTGGCTTCAATGTTGGTAGAAATACCATGCATAGATTGCCACTTTTAAATTCATACTAGGCTAAAGAGAGGTTCTTTAAGGATATATGGTGTGTTGGATTCCAGTATAGGAAACATGCTTATTAAATCTACAGATAATTCAGAGGAGAGAAGTTAATATGCTGAAAGACAGACTCAAGAGTCAAAAAGATCCAAACAGATTACAAATATAGGCTAAAACAAATAAGATGAAATGTAATAGGAATAATTTAAGATCATCCAACACTTCTACAAGTACCAGATAGGAGAATCATTGGCTTCATAGGTCACTGAAAAAAATACCTGAAGTTTTAATTGACTATATGCTCAATGTAAGCCAATATCATCACGTAGCTTAGAAAATCTTGAACTGTAGGTAGGTCTTAGATTAATAATAAAGAGGTAATAATTTCACTGTATCATGTTTTAATAGCTGCTATTTTATTTAATTACATAATACACGTTCCCTGTACAACACTGGAAAATGCGGATAAGGAAAATGAAAATAAATATTACCCACAATTCTACCACTCAAAGATGAATACTATCTACATTTTGGTGTTTCATTATTCCAGACTTCTTAATGCACATTACATTCATACACACTTATGATCTCTTACAAAAATAGGATACTACAAATGCAGTTTTGTAATCCATTGTTTTTTATTCAACACATATCAAGCCCCGTATGTTCTACACTAATCAAATGACATCTAGCACATTTTGTTCACTTCCAGTCACCACTATTTTAAGAGGGTCATTGCAAAATTTGAGAATATTCAAAGAAGGAAAAAAAGAGTAGTGAAAAGTATGAAAACCTAAGATCCTAATAACTGTGCTCTATTGCCACATGAAAAAAGGTTAATGGAAAGGATAGTTTTCCCATGAAAAACAGAAGAATGAACCTGAAAAACTGTCCTGGCAGATGAATTAGACTACTTTGAGTTGACCCATATAACCAACCTAGAACCAATTGCTGGAAGTTACAGGGAGACAGATTTCAGCTCAATAAAAAGAATTTTTTTTTAAATAATTAGGGCTATCAAAAAATGTAATGAATCTAGTCACTGGAGGGCTTAACAGGGCTAGATACTAACTGGTAAGGAATGTTGCAGAGGAAATTCCAGCACTAGGAATGTTGGATTAAAGGCCTCTTTCTATTTGACAATTCTATGATTCTAAAGGAAAACTTACTGAGGAAATTTACTCCAGTACAACATGAAGCGAATCTTTAGTAAGGTCTTAAGAAATAGAGTTAAATGCTTTCGAGCTGCATGAGAAATAATAACACTAGTGATGAATACCTATGTGCTAAATGCTTCATATTCATTACTTTATACCTCATTGATCCTTACAACAACCCCATATAATTACTAACCCCATATGGTACCATTACTATTTTTAGTCTACAGAAAAGAACAGTAAGGCTTTAAAGGGTTTTTATATTTATTCCAGGGCATTCTTACTTTTGCTGAAAATTGCAGTGTCACCCAAGCATATATGATTCACCATCATATAGCTACTGCTCACTTAGTAGATAATAAGTAATCAAAAGCACCGTCGGAAAAAGTTCTTATCTAGCGAACCCTCAAAGGGCAGTCATGAGATTTTTTTTTTAATTAGAAAAAACCATACCAAAATTTAAGGATTTTAAAATTAATTATTCGTAACAAAAATAATGTTCAGATTGAACTATCTAAATTGGCCATGTACTTTAAACTTTTGTGAATAAAACAAGTCGAATGAATAAGACTTAAGATGTGGCAAAGCAAATTTGAAACACAGAATTTCAAATCTGCTATTACCAATTATGTGACCTTGGGCAAGTTTTTAATCTTCCTATCTCTTTAGCCCATCTGTGAAATGAGGATAGACCTCTTATGGTTGGTATAAGAATTGAATGAGAGGATTCATGTAAGCATTTAGCACACAGTCTGACACAATTATTACAGAAGTAATAAAACAAGAGGGAAAAAAGTACCAAACCTATTCCACAATTCATTCCAAAATATTGAAAAATTTCAAAGTATCACTATATTTGATTGGGGGGCACATTTTCCATTATCCTATAAATAAATTTCTGATGATAATCATTTATGAAATAAAGTGACAAGTAAAATGTGCCTTCTTTAGAATTTCATTTTAGGCAAAGTATCACCCAAAGAATACAATTCCAACTCTCATTTTCTTCAAAGACACTGTGTTAGTTGTTTATTCAGTATGAGATAGAAAAATGCAAGTTTAAAGGTTACTGGTTTTGTTTGTGATTTTTACAACTTGGTTCAAACTACTCTAAAGAACACATTTTTTAGTTTTATTATTTCCTTTGTGCATTCTTATTGTCAAACTACTACTTCTACCTCTGACAAAACCAGCAAAAGTGAAAACCTCTCATTCGAAATGTACATTGTGGGTCACAATTTTGATATTTTATTTAGTGTTTACTAACATTAAATAGTTGGTATTTTATTCCTAAAATTTGACATCTATTCTTTTTTTAAAAAAAAAATGACACAACCCAGAAAGGAGTATTTAAAAGATGTTTGCCTTTGAGTTCTATCACAAATATAGTGATACCATTGAGATACCATTTATCTCAATGAAATTAACTGAAGTTCTCACTGTTCTCAAAGAATTCTTTAGAGTTTGCCCAAAGGAATTGATTATTTTGAGAAACTTCTTTCAGCATATAGGTTTCTAGCCATAATCATTTTTATAACTGATGGCAAATATATTTATTTTACCTTTAATTTATAACTGTAACTAGATAGACTGCTTTTATATAAATTACATGTAACTAGGGCAATTATTAGAGCTGAATATGAAACATGCACACACTGTCTACTTGTGTTTGAAAGTGAAATTATTTAACAAGGGAGTACACAGAAGAGTCATCATTTCTAAGACCTGCTGAAAAAATGTCCCATAAAAATTCACTGTTGTGAAGTGAACTGTCATTCCAATAAAATATCACTGTCAACAAGGATATATGATAACATACAGGGCTTTTTAAAATTCCATCAGCTATTTTCCAACAAAATTTATTTCACTGTAATATAAACATTTCCCCATTAGCCAGTGCTGTAATTAATTGCACTGACTCATCACTACAATCTATAAGAAGTTGTATAAAGAAAACAATGTCATCACCCAAAAGTTTGTATTAAGCACTTGTCAAGAGTAGCACAGAACAGTTTTTAAAAACCAAGAAAATCACTTGGGCTTTTAAATTTTTTTACATATATAGTTGGGTTGCCTAAGAGTTATTTAAAGGTGAAGATATGAATGATGACTGATGCCTCCAAAAATATTCAGGATAAATTGAATAGCCATGATTTTAGAAATTAAACAGCTTTCCTTGAATTTTATCTATTTACTCTTCAAGCTTCCTCCCTCCCACTTGGTTTCATTTGTCCATGAATTCAACTTTTAAGTTAATAGTTTCTCACATATGCATATCATCCTGCTCTTTCTATGGTACTGCCGGCTGAATAAGGACCTTGACATTTTTTTAAATGTCATCTAAGAAAAATTCGCCAAGCAATATTAGCTTCATCGGCAACATCTTTCACGTTAAAAGGCCTCTACTCTTTTCCATACACACTAACCCAATCGTGACCTAGCATCCTTCATCCTGAGGAAAAATAACCAAGTTTCATTTAGCCATGCTCAGGTAACTGAAAGTACTGCTGGGGCTGCCCAACCTGCCTCATCAAGTTTTACACACACCCTGGACTGATGACATCTCATCAGAAGGTTCACTTTCTTCATTTTGTGGGATCATAACCCACAGCACAGCAAATGCCTTCTGCAAGAGAAGATAGCAGCAACCAAAGGCTGTGGCTTTTGCAGGGTAATCGCATGCATGCAATAGCTTCTCTGTCAATTTTATTTAAATAGACCCCCCCAAAAAGGGGCCTGGTTCGAAGCTGCAAATATATAATAAACATTGATGAAAAGCAGGTGGAAAGCCGGTTTTCTTCAAACAACACTAGTCCATGTACAAGTTCTGCACCACGGCGCACAGAAAAGTATCTTACTGACGCATTGATGGAAGGCTATATTAAAATTACTCAAAGAATCTAAGGCATCAATCTGACCGGGAGACTCATGCCTCCTCTCCATACACACAGCCTGTTTTCCTACCTAATTTAAGAATGGATCGCTGGCCACCAGCAGGTGTAATAACCGTGAGGAGGACGACGTATCCATCACAATGCATAACTAGGTGTGCCTTCCCCCAGCCGGTGCCCGTCCTTACCTTAGCAGATTAGACAGGGGCAGGGGTCCGGATCCACCGCCCAGGATCCCTCCTTTCCTGCCAGACAGGAGTTTCTCCACCAGAGCCACATTTCCAGTGCGAGCAGCTTCCAGCAGCTCCTGGTCCTTCCCCATAGTCTCTCACCGACTCCCCCACAGAGTCCTCTCCCCGCCCGGGTCCTCCTCCCCGACCACCCCCACTCCCCAAAATCCAGGGCCCTCCCCGCCCCACCCTAAAATAATGCAAGAGCTTCGGCACGCTGGGATCCCTGCAGCCCCGAGCCGGGAGCACCACTCTCTCCTCCTCTCCGGGGAGCAGCTTTTACAATGGGGATCAGACCATGTCTAGGAAGAGGCCCGCGACGCGCCCCCACAGCCACTCCCCTGAATTCCCAGGGCCTCTTTCCCGCGGGTGGGGCGTGAGGGGGGGCCGGGGGTGCTTTTGAGGAGCGGGAGGAGGAGGACTGAGGAGGTTGGAGGGGAAGGCGGAGAACGTCCTCGCGGGAGCGGGAGCGCAGCGAACAACCGCGGCGGCTATGGCCCGCGCGCCCTCGTGCCCGGCCCGGGCTCGCCTCAGCTTCCGCGCCAGGCCGGCTCGGCGGTGACGCGGCGGCA